CTTGGGCTATGTACTAAAATGGAGTAAGAGTGATAGTAATTGGTTTAAAAGACACCAAGTTACATAAACAGAAGATTAACATGGTTTCTGGAAAAGAAGTTTTCCTGGTTTCTAGAGTTACTGGAAGATTTGCTGTAGTTTTAGAAGGAACCAATGAATTTGATTTCTAAAGTTTTGTCAAGATTGTTTTTTAAAGGTTAAAATGAAATTTAAAGGAAATGTGGCGTGAGTTGGCCTAAGGGCTGAGTGAGGTGGAGTGAGAGAGAAATCCATGGGGAGTGCTGACAGTGGAGATTTCCAGGACTGGTGCTTGAGGCTAATTTGGGTTTTAAATTTAGAAAAGAGAATGCACATGAAATGTTTTAATTTGCCAGTAGTACAAATCTCCATATGTAGCATAATGTAAAGCTAATGGAAATATATTTTCAGAAGCTCTCTTCAAGTTATTATGAGACAGCAAAAAGTAAATTAATTTGGTCGTGGACAAATTGAGAAAGTGTATCTGAAGAGAAACAGTTACCATGTTTTTGAGATGATGAGCTCCAAGCTATCAGTTTAGAATATAAGAAGGAAATAAAAAACTGTCCTTGAAGAATTTTAGCTTCTGGGTAGAAAGGCTAATGAAAGTAACAATGTTACTCTATACTTACATGAAACTTTAACATATAAATCTTAAACTCTGCTATGATTCTCCATGACATGCCTTTTAAGAAAGATATGAGAATAGGGCAAGGTCCTGAGAAGAGCAGCTGGCATGATCAAGGAGATAGGTGATTCAGACGATTAAGACTCAAAGGAGATAGGAGAGAATGCAGAAAAGGAGAATAATGTTTTCCCTCAATCTTAGATTCTTAGAGCTAAAAGTTGTCTCATGAAACTTCAGAGAGGACATCATAAGCTAAACAAAAATTTGTATTACTTCATCAATTGGGTAGAGATGGGAGAAACATTTACCCTAAATTTATATGCCCTGAGACAATGTCCTAAAATTTTTCACATGGCCTCAGGCTTTCAAACTTTATGCCTTGTGTCGGACCCTCTGAGTATTGAATTCAAATAATATTGAAAAATACCTGGAAAACAGTGCTGAAGGATGTACTAGAATTCTAATCCAGCTTACTGCTTGTTTTTGTAGGGCCTTCAGGCTAATAATTGTTTTTACATTTTTAAGTGGTTGGAGAAAAAAATCAAAAGAAGGGTAATATTTAGTGATGAGTGAAAATTACATGAGAATAAAATATCAGTGCTGTAAGTGAAAGTTTTATTGGGCTACAGCCATGCTCACTTGTGGATGTAGTGTCTACGACTGCTTTTGCACTACAGCAGTGGCAGAGACCCAATGTCCTATAAAGCCTAAGTTACTCTCTGGCCCTTTACAGGAAAAGTTTGCCAGCCTCTTAGATAGACTAATAAAATTAGCGTCGTTTTTCCAGGAAAAGAAAAGATTGTAGTGACTAGAGGAAAAGCGTTAAATAGATGAAGAGATGTTATATACAGTCATGAACCACATAACGTTTCGGTCAACGACATACCAGTGGTCTCATAAGATGATAATGGAGCTAAAAATTCCTATTGCCTAGTGACATCATAGCCATTGTGACATCATAGCGTAATTACCTTATTTTTTTAAAATTTAGCATAGCCTAAGTGTACAGTGTGTAAGTCTATAGTTGTGTACAGTAATGTCCTAGGCCTTCACATTCATTCACCGCCCACTCACCCAGAGCAGCTCCCAGCCTTGCATGTTCTATTCATAGTAAGTGCCCTATGCAGGTGTAACGTTTTGTCCTTTTAGACTGCATTTTGATTGTACCTATTCTATGTTTAGATGTGTTTAGCTATACAAATACCATTGTGTTACAGTTGTCCGCAATATTTAGTACAATCACATGTTGTTTAAGTATGTGATGGACCACACCATGTGTATACCCGAGGTGTGTAGTAGGCTACACCATCTAGATTTGTGCAGGTATGCTCTGTGATGGTCCCATGACAAAATCCCCTAATGACACGTTTCTCCGAACACATCCCTGTCGATAAGTGACACATGACTGTAAATGGTGCTGGGCAGCATGCTGTTCTTTCCTGTGCTGTTCTGTTTCTGGTCTAACACAGAGGCCGTTAGCCTCCTGGGACTATTTACATTTAATTAAATACAACTTAAAATTCAGTTCTTCAGCTACATTGACTGCATTCCAAGTGTCCAATAGCCACATGTGGCTGGTGGCCACCATATTTGAAGAACATTTCCATCATTGCTTAAAACTCTGCTGGGCATGGCTGTGTCATAGTAAATACGGTACTTTGTGCCAGGTGCTGCTCTTGAATCTTCTCAAAAACTTCTTGAAGTAGGGATTATTATCACTTCTGTTCTACAGATCAGAACGTTGAGGAACAGGGAAGTGAAGAAACTTGCCTAGAATCACACAGCTGGTGTCAGGCAGCATTTAAGCCCAGGCAGCCTAGCCTCAGAGTCTTGCTTAATCATTTCGTGCTTATGTGTTGAGAGTGCTGTACAGATTTTGAAACACAAAACTTAGAAAAGTTGTATACAGTATAATAGCTACATTCCTTCCTAGAAGGAAATCGAGAGATAGGAACTGGACTAGTGTTTTGGAGACCTTTCAGTCTTCATTAGGTTAAATGGATCATTTGAATTCTGACTTACCTTCATAGTAGTGTTGACCCTTTCTAATTAGTGGAAATTATTTTGGCAAAGGAAGCCATTAAATGGGAATTTTGCCTTCACAATGGTTATATGTATTTGTGTTAATTCAAGCATGCTGTAGTCTACATGATAGACTACATGCTATAGTATCATGTCCTCTTACCTTTTTAGCTGTGTTGAAGGCTGTGTTGCTGTTGAGTTATAATTTCACTTGAGTAGAGGTGTAGGGGCCACATGTGATACTGTGTTTGGTATTACATACAAAGGCTGATGCCCTCCGTTGTGTAGCATGAATATTGGGTGAGCATTTTAGTGGATGAACACTTCCTTCTTCTGAATATTATTAAATTTTTTTGGTTTTATTTTAACAAATGCATAGATTTCATGTGTCAGGCACTATTTGGAGTACTTTATAAATGTTAACTTATTTAATCTCCATATCCCTATGAGAGAAATACTGTTTTTTTTTTTTTTTTTTGAAATGGAGTCTTGCTCTGTTGCCCAGGCTGGAGTGTAGTGGCGCGATCTTGGCTCACTGCTACCTCTGCCTTCAGGGTTCAAGCAGTTCTCCTGCCCCAGCCTCCCCGGTAGCTGGGATGACAGGTATGTGCCACCACACCTGGCTAATTTTGTATTTTTAGTAGAGACGGGGTTTTGCCATGTTGACCAGGCTGGTGTCGAACTCCTGACCTTGGGTGATCCGCCTTGGCCTCCCAAAGTGCTGGGGGGTTACAGGCATAAGCCACCGCACCTGTCCGAGAAATACTGTTATCCTCATTTTGCAGATGAGGAAGCTAAAGCACCCATGAGGAAAGTGACATGTTTAATAGTTTGACCACAGTCACACAATTAGACAAGTGATAGCACTGGGATTTGAACCCAGGCAGTCTGGCCACAGAACCTGTAATCTTGCCTGCTGTGTTTTGCTGCCTTTCTGGTGGCAGTGGACTATTGATTTGTTTTAATTGTACACCAACCATCTCGTCTTGGTTTGGGGGATATTAGCAAGTGTAGAGGATTGTTGACAGCACTAGTAACTGAGATCAAAATGACAAGTGTGGCTCTGTGGCACTCCCAGAAGCCTCATGACTAGTATACAGACAGTATACAGCTCTACCTCTATAAAATAAATACTTGTCCCAGCTAAATAGCTCTTAGTCATTTTTGATTAGCACCAAAAGTATTTCAGGGCACACATGACTTGCTGGCTTCCTCAGCTGGTAAATTCTGTCATGAGTAGCCTGAGCTCCTTTTTTGAGAGGGTGGGTCAGCGTTATGGGTCCTGCAGAACTTCAGCTACACCTGGGAGAAATTTTGGAAGCTTCAGTAGGAAAGTGTAGCTTAAAATTAGCCTATATTTCCCAGGAAGTTGATACAGCTTATCTCCCTCTACCCTGATGTTCAGCTTGATCTGGTTATTGCCACTTTCTTCACTGCTACTACCTTGTAGTTCATTGTTCTTAAATTGATGGAAGAGGTCCTTCAAAGTTAGCCCGTGTGGTCGTTGTCTATCCCCGTGTGCTTAAGAGTACACATGTGCATGGAATTGTATTCCAGTATAGTTAATCTAGAAATATCTAACCAACTTGGCAGCATTTCTTGGTTGCTTGCTGTGAAAATGCTAAAAATTGTGTTTAAAAATAAAAATTGTTGTGCTTCTGAGTGTAATACCAAATTTGGAAACCAGATTTTTAAAAATAGCATCTATATTAATATGATAAATGCTTTTAGTTAAAATATCTTAATAATTTTTTAGAAAATTTAGAAAGCATTTAAAAACTATTGGAGACATTTGCAACTCTGAAAATTATTTTATTGTATTTTTAAAATTAATTATTAAAAAATTTTTTAAGACGGAATCTTGCTCTGTCACCCAGGCTGGAATGCAGTGGTGCCATCATAGCTCACTGTAACTTTGAACTTCTAGGCTTGAGTGATCTTCCTGCCTCAGCCTCACAAGTAGCCAGGAATACAGGCTCATGCCGTTGTGCCCAGCTAATTTTTAAAAATTTAAAAATTTTTTTGTAGGGACGGGCTCTCACTAGATTGCTCAGGCTAGTCACAAACTCCTGGCCTCAAGTGATCTCCTACCTCAGCCTCCTAAGGGGCTGAGATTACAGGTGTGAGCCACCATTCCTGGCCCTATTTTAGTATATTTTAAATATATATAAATCCACTCAGTGAATGGATTTGTAAGAGAATTGTTTAAAGTTGACTGGAATTACAACATTTTACATTTCAGACATTGTCAAATTCTTTTTCAATTCTAAGCATGACTTAAGGCTTTATGTCCTGTTGTTTATATTCTAATTTTGTGTTTCCTTATTTTCAGGCCGAAATAGAACTATTTGTGAACAGACTTGACTCAGTGGAATCAGTTCTTCCTTATGAATACACAGCGTAAGTTTTTCAGCTTGGTTTTTATATAAAATTCAGGATTTTGTACATTGGGAACTTTGTTTTCTCACAGTTGTGGACAAATTGATATCCATTTTTAAAATGTACGCGGCCTGAAAATATTTTTTAAGGTGTACTCTTCCAAGGTGTGGTTAAAAATGTGATCTTTGTTTTATATTTCTTTGTAATACAACAGAAGCACTGACTAAACAGTGAATTTCCTTTTTTGTCTGACTGAGCAAAAAGGTATTTTGTTTTCTTAACATTTTAAAATTATAAATAGCTCCACATATTTTTAAACAAAATTTTTATATCCCACATAATCAGTTCCCAGAAATAACTACTTTGATGTCTACTTCTCCACATTTTTTTCTCTGAATAGTCTAATCTATATAATCACATTTATTCATTTTTGTTTTAAACAGAAGTAGATTCATAGTATTTATATTTACATTTATTTTTATGTTTTTGAGACAGAGTCTCACTGTATCACCCAGACTGGAGTGCAGTGGTGCGATCTTGGCTTGCTGCAACCTCTGCCTCTGCCTCTGGCATTCAAGTGATTCTCCTGCCTCAGCCTCCCAAGTAGCTGGGTTTACAGGCGCATGACACCACGCCTGGCTAAGTTTTGTATTTTTAGTGGAGACGGGTTTCACCATGTTAGCCAGGCTGGTCTCAAACTCCTGGGCTCAAATGATTCACCCACTTCGGCCTCCCAGAGTGCTGGGATTACAGGTGTGAGCCACTGCACCTAGCCCATACTATTATTTTGGATTGGCACCTTGTTTTTCTCATTGAATATATTGTGGGCATCTTTCCATGTCAATACATAGCTACCTCACTCTTTTTAGTGGCTGTTATTATTTCTATTTTAGAATTATATAGATTCCGGCCAGGTGCAGTGGCTCACGCCTGTAATCCCAGCACTTTGGGAGGCTGAGGCGGGCGGATCACGAGGTCAGGAGATCGAGACCATGGTAAAACCCAGTCTCTACTAAAAATACAAAAAATTAGCTGGGCGTGGTGGCGGGCGCCTGTAGTCCCAGCTACTTGGGAGGCTGAGGCAGGAGAATGGCGCTCCAGCCTGGATGACAGAGCGAGACTCTGTCTCAAAAAAAAAAAAAAAAAATTGTATAGATTTCATGTACAGTTAGTTTCACTAATTTCCCGTTTACCAACATTTGATTATTTCCAGGTTTTTTGTTTGTTTGTTTTTGAGACAAGGTCTTGCTCTGTTGCCCAGGCTGGAATGCAGTGGCGCCATCATGGCTCACTGCAGCCGCAACATCCTGGGCTTAGGTGATCCTCTCATCTCAGCCTCCTGAATAGCTGCGACCACAGGCATTTGCCACCATGCCTGGCTAATTTTTTTTTTTTTTTAATTTTTTGTGGTGATGGAATCCCACTGTGTTGCCCAGCCTGGTCTCAAACTCTTGGGTTCAAGGGATCCTTCCACCTTGGCCTCCCAAAGTGCTGGGATTACAGACATGAGCCACTGTGCCTGGCCCAGTTTTTTGATATTGTGAAAAATGCTGCATGAATATCCTTTATTCATTTGACCATTGTATACTATATTGGGTCTAAAACCGTTCCTAAAATTTTGTTGAATCTAATTTCTCTGCTATTTAAGAGTTTTAAAAGAAAATAGTTTGCTGTGGGGAAAAGCATACACAAAAAAGTTAAGACTATCCTAAAGAATTAATATACTTAAATATGTCTAAGAAAAGATATTTATAGTCTACCCAAAATACATGAATGGGTAGACTATAATTTAATTATTGGATACTTAAATTTTTTTCTAGTTTTTGTTTTGTTAAACATCTTTAAATCTTTGTGGGTATTCTTAGGAAAAGTCAGTGGATCTGTTATATACAGTAAATGGAGATTCTTAATTTGGGAACTTCAGCCGCAGTATTGTTTTTAATCACCAGAGATCCACCTGCCTCTTTAGGAATCTCAGTAATCTGTTACTATTACCGTACTGATCTCAGGTATTCCCCGTATCATTCCAGGGTGAGCACAGAACTGCCCTTTAATTTTCTGTGGCAAAGCTGAAATTAAGCTGTAATGTTTAAACAGAACTTTATTAAAGTCGATTAGTAATACAAGGGAATTACAACACAGAGAATCTTATAGGTGACTGACTACATCTTCTCTACAGCACTCTTCACAGGGAGTCTGTTTAGCCATACTTCACATGTTGGGATGTGTTGGCCAGTGTACTGAGATGAGACAGAACTGCAGGTAGACTTGACATACATTACTGAAATATCATTTTTAATTAAAGGTTTGAATTAGATATAGAAGGGAGATAAGGTATGCAAAATTTGTTTGGATAATAAGGATCTAAATCATTTTATTATTGGAGTGAACAAAAATAAATTATAATGAGTCAATTTAAAAGATCCTGTAATATGCACTCTAATAAGAGAATGTTATTTAGAAAACAAAATATTCGAAGGCATAATTTTAGGTGTTTTTTATGGGGGAAGATGTGGTACATAGGACTTGGGGTATGGATAGATTTCTTACTCATCTACTAGAGCTACTAGAATGATCAGTACCTAATCTGCTCTCAAGATTGGCTAGATGTTTGATATTTCATCGTTCCCTTTTATGTGTAAAAATTTAAATATTCTTCTCCCAGGTTTGATTTTTGCCAAGCATCAGAAGGAAAGCGCCCATCTGAAAATCTTGGTCAGGTACTATTCGGGGAAAGAATTGAACCTTCACCATATAAGGTTTGTATTTAGTGTTACGTAATAATTATTTACTTACAGCTTTTGCTTTTTGTTATTTAAGAAAAGACTGAGATAACTCAGCTATCATTGCTAAGGAGGAGTTCATTTCTCTTTTTCATCTAGGAATAGTTTCTTAAAATCATAGTTAGAAGGATCCTTCTCCTTCTCATAATGTGTCATTTATAAGTCTGTCTTAATGAACATTCATACAACTAATGTTATGAAGATAAGACGGTGGCTTAAGGGGCAAGACTCAGACGCTCTGCCTCCTTTGCAGAGGGTCCTGAAACCCACCTTCCAGTCATGAGGGGTTGTCCCAGCTGCTCTATGACTGTTTCCCTCTGTTTTCCAGCAGTATCTAGAGACACTCTCTGTTAACACGTATAATGCTTCCTGGGCTCCTGCATTGGGATTTTTGGAAGCTAACCTTTCTTTTCTTTTTTTATTTTTTTAAGACAGAGTCTTGCTCTGTTGCCCAGGCTGCAGTGTAGTGGTGAGATCTCAGCTCACTGCAACCTCCGCCCCCCGGGTTCAAGCAGTTCTCGTGCCTCAGCTTCCCGAGTAGCTGGGACTATAGGTGCATGGCACCATGTCCAGCTAATTTTTTTGTATTGTTAGTAGAGATGGGGTTCCACCGTGTTGGTCAGGCCGGTCTCAAACTCCTGAACTCAAGTGATTTGCCCACCTCGGCCTCCCAGAGTGTTGAGATTACAGATTTGAGCCAGTACGCCTGGCCTGACCTTTCTATTTTGATGATTGAAAATGTATTTGGAACATCTTTGGTACATTTTTAGAACACCAGTTAAACCAAACTAAGCACAATATAAGGTGTTCTTTTCAGCATATGTACTTCATCTCTCAGAATTCTTTTGCCTTTAAATCTGTTATCTTTTAAGCCTATTATCCTTCCACATTGCATAGTCCCTGTTTGTTTTATATCTATTCTCCTACTGTACAAAGAACAATGGTATTTTGCTTTTAGAAACATTAGTTTATTATAATAATGTATCACCATATAAAAAAATTAAATGTTGCAGAAGAATAATAATAAACGTGCAGTTCTACTTCACAGCTTGTTATTAAAATTTCCTGAAAATTTTCATACACCTATAAGCTTATATTAAATAGATTAGATATACTTGTTTGTTTTAACATACTATGTTCCACACTCTGCATTTTTCCTTTAACTCTCTACCATGGGTATCTGTCCACATGAGAATATGTGTTCTAATGGCTCTAACTTGACTCCAGGTTTTATTCCCCAGCCTGACAGCTTCCTCTCCTGGCTTCGTGTCTCTGCTATGGCTTAGACCTCATACATATCCACCTTCCCTGCTTTCTCACGAGGCACCCCTGTCTCCCTCAACATTTTGTTACATGGAGCACAACATTTATTATCTGTCCAGCAAATCCCTAAGCCTAGGTTCGTCTCACCAACCATCTTACTCCCTCTAGCACCTGCATCTACACTGTGAAGCCCTGGGGGAAAAGAGACATCGCTGTGCAGATTTAATCCACTGCAGGTTGATAGTTTTTGACCGTAAATATATCCTCTTCAAATATTCTTTTTTTTTCTTTTCTTTTTTGAGAGATGGAGCCTTGCTCTGTCACCCAGGCTGGAGTGACGTGGCACAATCATAGGTCACTGCAGCCTCAAACTCCTAGGCTCAAGTGATCCTTTTATCTCACTCCCCTGAGTGGCTAGGACTACAAATGCATACCACAACATCCAGCCAATTTTTAAATTTTTTATCAAGACAAAGTCTCACTCTGTTGCCCAGGCTTGTCCAGAACTTCTGGCTTCAAGCAATCCTTTTGCCTCAGCCTCCCAAAGGGTTGGAATTATAGACATAGATGTGAGCCACCACCTGATGCCTTTCAAATACTTTTTTTTTTTTTTTTTGAGACAGAATCTCACTCTATTGCTCAGGCTAGAGTGCACTGGCACGATCTCAGCTCACTGCAACCTCTACCTCCTGGGTTCAAGTGATTCTCCTGCCTCAGCCTCCCAAGTAGCTGGAATTACAGGCGTGTGCCACTATGCCCAGCAAATTTTTGTATTTTTTGTAGGGATGGGGTTTTGCCATGTTGGCCAAGCTAGTCTCAAACTCCCGACCTCAGATGATCTGCCTGTATCGACCTCACAAAGTGCTGGGATTACAGGCATGAGCTACTATACCTGGCCCCCTTTCAAATATTCTAATCTGAAATTGTCTACCCTAAAATTGCCAGTAACTTTTAAAGTTTCCTAAACACAGTAGATGCGAAGGCCCTAATGGGATGAAGTCACTGGGGAGGAAGGAACTCAAAGTGTATGGACCTGGTGCCATTGAGCAGGGCAGGCATGTAACTTGTGAAACACCACCTCCCTCTTGGGATGTTTGGAAGATTACTTTGAATGGTATTGCATTCTTCTTATAGCAGATGGCTGTTTTCAGGCATGCTTATTAAATTTTACAATCTTAAATACTCCAGTAGCCTCTCAGCCCCATCTCTCTATTTAGTTGTGTCTTGGCCTTGAGAAATGATGGGTGGAAAGAACATCAGCAATGCCCTTAGAGAACTGGGAAGACAGCAGGAGTCCCTAGCAGGAAACAGGGAAACCCAGCAAAATGTTCAAACCATGGAGAGGTGTTGTCCCTTGGGGCAGACTTTGAAGGCAGGTTACTCCCCTTAATAGGACGTCATTGGGCACATTTCGGTTTCTGTGCAAGGACTGTTCCTTGCTCATACACAGGACCCTTTTGGGGGCCTAGGACTTTTCAGATTTAATCCTTTGTTGTAGAAGTTGAGGTTAAATAGAATAAAAGGAGAGCTTTAGAATGGAGAAAGATGTGTACACAACATTTTCCCTGAGTCTCGTGGAATGTTTTAGGATCAATATCTGTACTAAAACACATCCTCTAAGCCTCAAGTTTAAAGGGGCAGAGCAGGCACGTTTTAAGGCCAAGGTGTAGGTAAATAGAAACGTGGGACTCAGAAGATTTTTTTCCAAGCCAGCCATAAATGTATTGACTAGTGTTTTTCATTTCACTATTTGTTCTTTATTTTCAAGGATTTCTCTCTGTCTGTCTCTGTCTCTGTCTCTGTCTCTGTCTCTCTCTCTCTCTTCTTTCTTTCTTGTCTTTCTTTCTTGTCTCACTCTGTGGCCTGGGCTGGGCCACAGCTCACTGCAGCCTTAAACTCCCAGGCTCAATAAATCCTCTCACCTCAGCCTCCTGAGTAGCTGGGACTACAGGTATGCCCACCATGCCCAGGTAATTTTTATTTTTTGGAGAGACAGGGTCTCACTATGTTGCCCAGGCTGGTTTAGAACTCCTGGGCTCAAGCAGTCCTCCTGCCTTAACCACCCAAAGTTCTGGGATTATAGGTGTGAGCCACTATACCCAGCTTTATCTTATTTTAGATCTGCCATAAAAACTGAGGTAACAACCAGCAACAAAATAAAATCCCAGTCTGCTTTGCCATCTTTTATATTTGACTTCTGTTTAGGTCAGGAAAACAACAGTGCAAGACACTGTGTGTATTACGTGAAGCTGGAACCACATTTCAGAGGACCATAAAATCTCATCTGAGATCTAAGCACTCATATTCAGTAACTCAGTTAACATATTTGCTCCATACCTTTCATGTGCCAGGCACTGTGATGGGATACAGCAGTGAGCTGAACAAAAATCTCCGTCCTCATGGATCTTTTATGCTAATTGGGAGAAGGAGACAAAATAAGTTATCAGAATATATGTTTCAATTACTGATGAAAGAACTATTGAAAATAAATCTGGGAAGGTGTGTGGGGAATTTCTAATTTTAAATAGGCTTACTGCAAAGGTGATTTAAAATCTTAAATTTAAAAAGCCTTACCGAGAAGGTGACATTTGAGCAAAGACCTGAAGCAAGTAAGGGAGTGAGCTACGTGAATATGAAGGGGAGGTGTTCTAGCTGAAGAGAGGCCCCAAGGTGTGCAACTTGAGCAGGCGAGCAAGATAGAGCATATTAGGCAATGAGCACAGAGAAGTAACAGGACCACATTATAGAATGACTCAGAGGCCACTGTAAGGATTGGCCTTTACATCTGAGCAAGATGGTTAGCTAACACTGGAGGGTTTTGAGTAGGCTTCGATTTTACCAGGGTCACCCTGGCTGCTGTACTGAGAATGGACCATGGGGATGCGAGGGGAGAAGCCAGGAGACCAGTAGGAGGCCTTCTCCCTCATTTAGATATGATCTGTCTTGGGAGGGGTGAGGAGGTGGGAAAGAGGTCAGAATCTCTAAATCTGCCTTTGTTTTGAAGGTGGCCAACAGAATTTGCCAAGGGATGGGATGCGGAGTGTGGAGTTTCTATTTTCTAAGATGAGACAGTGTGGGAAGAGCCAGGTTGGGGAATGGGGAAGAGTTAGTTTTGGATGTGGCAAGTGAGAGGTGTTTATTAGGTGTCCAAGCAGAGATGTTGAATAAACAGCCAAATACATGCTTCTGGAGTTTGGAGGAGGGCTTCATCCTGGATATACACAGTATATATTTGAGAATCATCTGTGTATAGATGGTATTTACAGTCATGGAATTGAAGAGATCCCCAAGGGAGTGGGTATAGATGAAGGAGACAGGATTCAAAGAGGCACTCTTCTGACCTGTAACACCAGGCGCCCCAAGGGCTCCTGGTATTGTATTTTTAGTAGAAGTGGGATTTTACCATGTTGGTCAGGCTGGTCCCGAACTCCTGACCTTAAGACATCCACCCCTCTCAGCCTCCCAAAGTGCTGGAATTACAGGCATGAGGCTCAGACCCTTGGAGCACCTGGTGTTATAGGTCAGGAGGATGGCGAGAGTCTAGCAAAGGACACTGAGAAGGAGCCATTGATGAGAAAGAAGGGTAACAGGGAGATTGTGGTCCCTGGAGGCCAAGGCAAGAAAGTGTTTCCAGGAGGAGGGATTGGTTGATTTGTCACTGATGGGTCAGGTGAGATGAGGACGGATGATTGACCTTGGGTTTAACCTTCAATGTGGAGGTCACTGATGAGAAAGCAGCCGTGGTAGAATAGCCGGGTGGAGAGAGAACGGAAAGGCCAGTTGCAGGTGGGCACATCTACAACTGTCTTGAGGACTTTTATTTTACTGGCAGTGAGAAAAAGAGTGGTAGCTGGAGGATGGCATGGTTCAAAGAGGACTGTTTTTGTTTGTTTGTTTGGAGACAGAGTCTTACTCTGTCGTCCAGGCTGGAGTGCAGTGATGCAATCTCAGCTCACTGCAACCTTCACCTCCCAGCTCCAGTGTTTCTCTTGCCTTAGCCTCCTGAGCAGCTGGGATTACAGGTGCCTGCCACCACACCTAGTTAATTTTTGTATTTTTAGTAGGGACAGGGTTTCGCCATGTTGGCCAGGCTGGTCTCAAACTCCCCACCTTGGGTGATCTGCCCATCTTGGCCTCCCAAAGTGCTGGGATTACAGGTGTGAACCAAGGTACCCACCCCAAAGAGGACTTGTGATGGATCTTTAAGCAAGGCATGTATGTGGATGAGTATGATCAGTAGATATACGAAAAATGATGTTTTAGGAGATGGAAGGATTGCCATGGGTGTCCTTGCTCTGGCAAGAAGGGATGGGACCCAGTGTGCTGGTGGAAAGGTTGGCCTCAGTGAGCTCGTTCATCCGTGGTAACTGGAGGGAAGGCAGAGACATGGGGTGTGATGCTGGGAGGTAAATGTGGCAATTGCTCCTGATTCCTTAGTGAAGTAGGCAGCATGGCCACCCCACCTGTGAGTGAGGAGGGAGGCAGCAGTCAAGTAGGATCCAGGAGAGCGAATAGAGAAGGAGTGTGGAGCAGCTGCTAGGCTGCATCAGGGACCCTCTGGCCAGCTGATGGTTTGAAGTAACAGCAGCCAGCGTGCTTACTTATGTATCTCCAGCTATCTCCAGCTGTGCTGCTATGAGTTGGATTTAACCAGGTTTGTGGTTTTAACAAGTGAGTACCAAAAAAGTGAGAGAACACAGGATGTGAGGACATCCTTGGATGTTATGAAAGATGGAGATACTGTTGAGCTTGGAGTTTGAGCTTGCACAGGGGGCATGTAAGGCCACAAAAGGAGTAAGAGACAGTGAAAAGACTGTAGGATCTGTCGATTCAAGTGGCATCCAGAGCTTGTTGGAGGTGAGGAACATTTAAGCCAGTGAGTTGGAACAGTGGGAGGAGGTGCTTTGACACTAGGAAGCTTGAAATGAAGATAACGGCAGGGACTCCTGTCATTGTTAAAGGCAGGGTGAAGTGCGACCAGAGGAGCGAGTCCTTTGAAATAGGATGAAGACCAGAGTTGCTGGAGGAGAGGGCAGAGGATCAAAAGGTCATTGTTTTCAAGGATCATTTATATAAATGTTGTAATCACCAAGAATCAGGAGCCAGGAGGAGTGTTGGAGTGACAGTGTGTCTGGAGCTGAGGGCCGGTGACCTGGGGTTGGTAGATGACAAGAACAGGAAGGAGTAGGGGCGGTGTGGTCTGATCACATGGGAGTCAAAGCTAGAGGTTTCTGGAGGAGGGAGAATGGTCTGGCCCAGTGCTGGGGCCTATGAGAGAAAACAGGCACCACTGGCAAGACTCCAGTGAGGCAGCGTCCCTCAGGGACAGCCAGGTTTCCATCAGAACAGGCACCAGTATTCTACTGGTGACACATGAGTTTCAGGGTATAGTGGAAGGGTTTAAGCAGTTGGGGTGGGGATCCATTTTGGGATTCAAATGTGAGAATGGAAGGATGACATGGAAATCCTGGACTTCTGGTGGTGACTAATATTCAGAGGGGTAAAGGGCATAATGGGATTATCCTTGCCAGAGCAAGGATACCCATGGCATAATGAGTCCTGCCCATTAGTCCTAATGGGCAGTAGTCCATTCTCATGCTGCTATGCAGAAATACCAAACTGGGTAACTTGGAAAGAAAAGTGGTTCAGTTGACTCATAGTTCCACATGACTGGGGAGGCCTCAGGAAAACAATCATGGCAGAAGGGGAAGCAACCATGTCCTTCTTCACATGGTGGCAGAAAAGAGAAGTGCAGAATGAAGCAGGCAAAGACCCTTATAAAACCATCAGATCTTATGAGAACTTACTATCCCAAGAACAGCATGGGGGACCACCCCCATGATCGAATCACCTCCCACAGGTCCCTCCCGCAACACGTGGGGGTTACAATTCAGATCACAATTGGAGATGAGATTTGGGTGGGGACACCAAGCCAAACCACATCAGTCCTGATGGTCTCAGGCTGCATGGGGGAGAAGTCTTGCCAGGAGTGTGCAGCCTGACATGATTTCCCTCAGATATGGACTTCGATATAATTTTTCTGCTATTTGCTAAAAGCTGGTGGTGAGATACGTAACAGTAACTGTTGTTTAGTGAATACCTGTTTTCATCAGTCAGCATGCTAGGTGTTTTGCACACACATTTCTGTATCTGACAACCCTGCAAGGCAGGTCCTGCTCCCATTTTACACATAAGTTAACGGAAGCTGAGGCAGGGTTACGCAGCTTTCCCTGGTCTCCTAACAAGATGGAGCTGACCTGTACCCAGGTCTGACTCTAGATTGATAAAGCCTTTGATTTTCAGAATTATTCCAAGGAGAATTTTAAATCCTCACTGAAATAATCCAGGAAAAATTATAATCCCACGTTTTCCCAAATAGAAACAGAACAGTGCTGTGCTTGTGTGTTATAAGGAGGATTTGTTTCCCTTGGGAGCTAAGAAGATTTAAAAATCCTTAACAAAACATAAAATACAATTCCGTCCATAACCAAACATGATTTAAAATATTATAAAATTCCCAACTAAACACATGACAGGGAGAGGCTGTAGGGTGTTGTGCTGAAGAGCATTTTCTCCGGAGCGCAACTCGCTTGGCTGAGATCCTGGCTATGCCGATGCTCAGTTGTGTGACTTGGTGCTCCAGTTTTCTCCTCTGTAAAAGATGGATAAGCGTTGTTTGGAGGATTACATGAGGCTTGATATATACAAAGTATATGGAACACAGGAAGCACTAAACAGATGTTAACCTATTACTACTTTAAATGTCACCTTAGTCTTGCTATTTCCTTCACAATTGAACACAGGTTGACTCACCTAACGAAGTGAGCGCTGGATTGAGGTGTCAGATTTGCCATTTTGGTGTAATACTGTCTCTCTCTGCTTAACTTATTTTAAGTTTGGTACCTGTGCTTCTGATTCCTTAGTATGTATACTTTTGTTTTTCTATTTTTCACTTTTTAGGAATGAATCTTTAAGGTTCATATAAGGTTTAAAATATCAACTAGCGGTACAAATATGGCTGTATTGGAAATAGCAATGCAGACAGAATGAAAGCATTGGCTGACAGGTGGCAGCAGTGGACTGTGCTTAAACATTCACTTAGCTGCTTCACTGCACCTGCTTTAGGGATGTTACTAAATACATACATACAAAGAGTGGGCTGCGTAGAAGTGAACCATGCCATTTTTTTTTTTACCACCTTATGTAATAAAGTTTGAATTTATTAAAAGATACAATTACGGCTGGTTGTATAGTTGGTAAATTTCAGCCTTCTGGAGTCATGTTTACCCTGATTTTAGACATCTGAATGTCACTTTTTCTTATATTATCACATGCCATCTTGTTCACTGCTGAATCTCTATCACCTGACACTTAAGGAGGGCACTTAACATCTATTGATTATTTGAACATAAAAATTTGTCTGCTTGTTACTAGAAAGCCATCAACTCCAGAATTCCTAAGACATGACCATGGGATATTACTAGGAGAGACTAAAATTCCATTTTTCTTCTACATGGGATTTTTTTTTTCTCTTCTAGAACTAACTTACGTTTAAAAGGTAAGTCGACTGATATTACCAAAAAGAACGTATCAAAGGAAAACTTGATGACAAGTCTTTAGAGAAACACAATAGGAGTAACATTTACATCTGATTGAGCTATGAGGAATTTAAAAATTTATTTATTACCAATATTAATCCACTAAGTAATTTAATGGGGCTAGCATTTTTACTCTGTTTGTGATATTGATGTGAAGAACCTGGATATTTTTTCTGAATTTGCTTTCCACTTCCTTTTAATACAGTTTACGTTTAATAAGGAGGAGACCTGTAAGCTTGTTTGTACAAAAACATACCATACAGAGAAAGCTGAAGACAAACAAAAGTTAGAATTCTTGAAAAAAAGCATGTTATTGAATTATCAGCATCACTGGTAAGGCATGAATATTTTTGATTTTGGGGTTTATCCTTTCCATATGAAATCTTTGTTGCATTGACTGTATAACTTACTTGTAAGATTGTGTAAAATATAGCAAATTAATTGATTTCCTCTTTTTGTTACTAGTGGTCGTAGTTTGATGTAGTGACTGTTGATTAAAGATGACAACATCATTTAAAGAATTATCTTTTAACCATGTTTAGATTACTGTAATATCTGGTACTTCTTTTGGTACACAGATCTGGTACATAGAGTAGTTATTTTTATTCACATACAGACATACCTTGGGGATACTGAGGTTCAGTTCCATTCCACTGCAGTAAAGCAAATATCACAATAAAGTGAGTCACATAAAGTTTTTTGGTTTCCCAGTGCATATAAAAGTTATGTTTATACTACGTATAGTCTATTTAAAGTGTGCAATAACATGATGTGTAAAACAACTCTGTAAGTACCTTAATTAAAAATACATTATTACTAAAAAAAAAAAAGGCTGACACAAAGACATGAAGTGAACACATGCTGTTGAAAAAATAGCACTGATAGATTTGCTCAATGCGTGGATGCCACAAACCTTCAGTTTCTAAAAAACACCGTATCTGCAAAGCACAATAAAGTGAAGGGCAATAAAACGAAGTCTGCCTGAATAGTGAGCAGTAGCATATTATGCTTTGGGGAAAAGGGCCTGGGTCAGTCTTCCGGTGAAAACATTCTTTTATACTTGTGGGCTATGAAAAAAATCACAGGAAAACAAAACTTAACTTTTGTTTGATAAATAGCATCAACTTCAATTAAAATGCTTACATTTTGCTTAGCCTTTTATTTTGTAAACATGACATAACATTAACAAATTCTGTGCCAGTTTGTATCAGAATCAAAAAGCATTAAAAACTGTCTTGTTTTTCCTTCCAAAGTAGTATGTACTTATTATACAATATTCAAACATAGAATTTTTTTTTTTTTGAGACGGAGTCTCACACTGTTCCCCAGGCTGGAGCTCTGTGGCGTGATCTTGGCTCACTGCAACCTCTGTCTCCCGGGGTCAAGTGATTCTTGCACTTTAGCCTCCTGAGTAGCTGGGATTATAGGTACCTGCCACCACGCCTGGCTAATTTTTGTATTTTTAGTAGAGATAGAGTTTTACCATGTTGGCCAAGCTGGCCTCGAACTCCTGAACTTAAGAGATCCACCCCTCTCAGCCTCCCAAAGTGCTGGAATTATAGATGTGAGCCATTGCACCCAGTCAAACATGGAATATTTTTAAAGACTTTCAAAATCCAACATTTGAAGTATAACCATTACTATTCTTCTGAGTAATTTTGCTGGGAAATGCCTATATTCTATGGGGTCATAGTTTACATATGTTTTGCCTCTTCCAGAAAGTGTAAGATGCTTTTAGTGGCAAGCGGGAGGGCTGTCTTCCCGCACTTCCTTTTGGACGTTTGTCCTGTCGGTATATTAGATCACATCGTTTGTTCACGCCAGTGAGGTTAGGAACCTGACCGGGTCCTGTGGCCTCACATTCCCTCCTACCCCTCAGTTTTCCTCCTTCTCCACCCCACCCAACCCCCATACGCATGGAACCCTGGGTCCTGTGCACAGCCATGAACTAGTCTGTGATGGAAAGGATTCGTTCTGACTGGCCAGACCTTGGTAACATCTACCTGAACCCCATAAGAATGAGTTCCCTGTAGGCTACTAGGGCTCTGTTGGAAGGAAGGAGACAGTGCTGTTAGAAACCTGCCTGTTATGCTTGTGTCAGCTTCTTTCTCATCTGACCCTCAGTGCAAACAGACACTTTAAAACCTCTTTTGTCTCCCCATTTCTTTGGTTTCTGGTAAATGAAGAGCTTTTTCCCCCTAAACTACCATAGGAATACTGCTTATTTGCTAGATCAATGCGTATCAATTGCATATCAACTTGGGATATGTTTACTTTTTCATAAGTAATTGAAATTTTCCTTGTTGTTTTTCTTTGTAATCTTCTAAATAATATTTAAACCTCAGTTCTTCTCCTGTTAGCTCTGTCCACCTACGTTTACTGCAATAGCTATCAGTTTGTTGACTGAAAGAATGACTCTTAAGCTATGTGGGTGATTTTTTAGCTCTTTCTTCTACCCTCTGTGCTTAAAATACTGTTTAGTGAGCCCAGCGCTGTGGCTCATGCCTATAATCCCAGCACTTTGGGAGGCCGAGGTGGGCAGATCACCTGAGGCCAGGAGTTCAAGACCAGCCTGGCCAACATGGTGAAACCCCATCTCTACTAAAAATACAAAAATTAGCCAGATGTGGTGGCAGGCTCCTGTAATCCCAGCTACTTGGGAGGCTGAGGCAGGAGAATCGCTTAAACCAAAGAATACTGTTTAGTCTTGCTGCTGAAGGTAATAGAAGCAGTTCTTCTTTAGTAGTCTCCTCACAGGAAAGTACTTAGAGATATTTTTGACTAATTTATGATGCAGTTAACAAAGATTTCATTATAATGCCAAGATGCTTAATAGCAAGAATAGATAAAATAGTGTACAAATTAAGAAAGCATTAGTAAAATTTACTGAACGATTTGTAATCAGTGTATCAATGGCAAACTTAAACTATTCTGCTTTAAAAAATTAACTTGGAAAAGTGCTGGTAAATAATGATTTTGCAGTTGAATCAGAAAAGTCGATGATTTTAAGTGTAACACTTAAATCAGTTCAGTATACATTTGGAAAATGTTGATTCACATTGATTAATTTATTGAAACCATTATTTGGGTATATTATGTCCATGACCTATTTCAGAAAGATTTTACTGTATAACTTGATTTTAAGCATAGACAGTAGAGTTGACACATAAAATCATGTACCCATGGTAATGTATAGTATTCTATTATGGAGTTTGATTGTGAATGTAGCACATTTTATTTTATACTTTGCACTAAGACATGTTGGGGAGAGCATAATCATTTTCTAAATCATAAAGCAATATATGCCAATGAAAAAACACAAGCAGTACAAGAAAATATTAAGTAAAAGTAAGTCTTCTGTCACTCCCATTTTCATTTCTCTTCTACAGAACTAACACTATTATTTCTCATGTGTGTTTCTAATTTACTATGCATATGGAGGTATAGAAATGGGTTTGTCCTGTTTACAATAATGCAACTACAATATTATTGTACACATTATTCTACAACTTCCTCATTTAAGAAAATATTATGGACTTTTTTGAGGTGAGGTAACCTTGTAAATCTATAACCTCCTCCGTCTTTTTCATAATTTCGCAATTCACTGCATGAATCAATCATAATTTCTCCCCCATGACATTGGAACTGTGCTCTAGTTTATTATTCTCACTATATAGAACAGTTAATAGTTTCTTATATAAGTTGACGAATACTTTTTATTTTTTAAATTTTTGTTGTTGTTGTTGAGACAGAATCTCGCTCTGTTGCCCAGGCTGGAGTGCAGTGGCACAATCTCGGCTCACTGCAACCTCAGCCTCCCGGGTTCAAGTGATTCTCCTGTCTCAGCATCCTGAGTAGCTGGGACTACAGGCGTCTGCCACCACGCCTGGCTAAGTTTTGTATTTTTAGTAGAGATGGGGTTTCACTATGTTGGCCAGGCTGCTTTCGAACTCCTTACCTCTTGATCTACCCACCTTGGCCTCCCAAAGTGCTGGGATTACAGGAGCGAGCCGCCACTCCCGGCCATGCTTTTTAATTCTTATTTGGGGCTTTAGAACATATTTTGAAGATCTTTTTGGCTTACTCTGTCATTAGCTGCTAAGCTACTTCATGATTCCTGAAACTATTGCTTTGATACCAGCACCAGACACTTAAAACTTTCTTCAGCTGTGCTCTTTGTGGTTTGTGATTATACTTCTTGCCTGAGTTTCCAAATCTTGATGACATTTTATTTATAAAAGTATAATTAACTAGTTCAGAGTACATACCATTTTTTAGTGTCATTGAACTACTGAACTATAGCTTATTGAATTATAAAGGGGTCTTGAAGATACTTTAGTGAGTTCCAATCCCAGATCCCACCAAGTTAGCAAAGGAGAATGATGTGCTGTTTTCAGAAATTCAGAATCCTATTGAATAGTATTAATGTACTCACGTTAAAACTACATAGAAATGCCAACTTGTGGGCTACCTTCTTTGGGTCCCCTCCCTTTGTATGGTAGCTCTGTTTTCACTCTTAAATCTTGCAACTGCACTCTCTTCTGGTCCCTCTTTGTTACGGCTCAAGCTGAGCTTTTGCTCACTGTCCACCACTGCTGTTTGCCGCCGTTGCAGACCTGCCGCTGACTTCCATCCCTCCGGATCCGGCAGGGTGTCTGCTGTGCTCCTGATTCAGCAAGGCGCCCATTGCAGCTCCCGATCGGCCTAAAGGCTTACCATTGTTCCTGCGCGGCTAAGTGCCCGGGTTCGTCCTAATCGAGCTGAACACTAGTCACTGGGTTCCACGGTTCTCTTCTGTGACCCCCGGCTTCTAACAGAGCTATAACATTCACCACATGGCCCAAGATTCCATTCCTTGGAATCTGTGAGGCCAAGAACCCCAGGTCAGAGAACATGAGGGGTTTGCCACCATCTTGGAAGCGGCCCGCCACCATCTTGGGAGCTCTGGGAGCGAGGACCCTCTGCTAACATTTGGCAACCATGAAGGGACCTCCAAAGCGATGGGAAACCTTCTCCCCAAGGCAGAAATGCCCCTAAGATGTGTTCTGGAGAATTGGGACCAATTTGACCCTCAGACGCTAAGAAAGAAATGACTTATATTCTTCTGCAGTACCTCCTGGCCACGATATCTTCTTCAAGGGGGAGAAACCTGGCCTCCTGAGGGAAGTATAAATTATAACACCATCTTACAGCTAGACCTCTTTTGTAGAAAAGAAGGCAAATGGAGTGAAGTGCCATATGTACAAAGTTGCTTTTCACTAAGACAACTCGCAATTTTGTAAAAAGTGTGATTTATGCCCGGCAGGAAGCCCTCAGACTCTACCTCCCTACCC